GCCCCCCGGGTCCCCCTCGGCTCCTCCCGGAAGCGTGGGGGGGGGACACGCGCTCCCACCACCACCACGTGCACGGCCCCACGCGCGACCGCGGACGGCACTCGGAGCTGACTCCCCACCGCATCTCCGCGGGCGATCGCTCACCTCCGTCCCACCCCCCGGGTGTCTCTGTTGGTGCCACGCGTCCAATCCGCGCCGCCGGGCCGCCACGCGCCACGCTTCCGGGAGGAGCCGAGGGGGACCCGGGGGGCCTTGGATCCGGGGCAGCAGTGCTGCGGGGTCGCGGGCGGCACGCGTGGGAGGAGCGGGAGGGCGGAAACGAACGGCGGGCACACAGAGGCGGTTCCAGCCCTTCCTGCAGGTGCCGGGCGGAGGGAGCAGGGCGTGGGTCTGGGCGGCCCTAGGAGCCTGCCTCCGGGTTAGGCTGTCTGTACTCCTGCACCCTCGGACCCTCCCACACCCCACACGGTCCAGCTAGCCCCATCAGCCTGGTTGAGATATACAAATATTATATAGCTATAATATATATTCTTTTAAAATAACTTTTTAATGTTATTATTTCAATTTGTAATTTGTGTGTATGGGTGTATGGGTGTTTTGCCTGTGTGTATGTCTGCACAACGTGCGCGTGCAGTGCCTTCTGAAGTCACAGGTGATTGTGGGCCACCATGGAACTCTGGTCCTCTGCAAGAGCAGCAAGTACTCCTAAATGATGTGAGCCATCTCTCCAGTATATAACTTAATTTTTTCATTTATTAATTTTATGTATGAGTGTTTTGCCTGCATGTATGTATGTTTGTATGTACACCACATGAATGCTTGGTGCCCACGGAGGTTGGGAATCCTTGGAACTGGGGATACAGATAGTTGTGAGCTTGCGGGAGCTGGAAATCAAACCTGAGTCATCTCTAAGAGCAACCAGTGCTCTTAACTACTGAGGCATCACTCCAGCCCTGTAGCTTCTTTTTGAGGCAGGGCCTTATTGTATATCCCTGGCCGGCCTTGAACTCACAGAGTCCCTTCTACCTCTGCCTCCTGCGGAAACCCGTCCCCAGCTTGCCCTCTGTGGGGGACCTGGACAGAACTCATGCTGTGTAAAGCTGGGCAAGCAAGCACCTCCACCTGCTGAGCCCCCCCCCCCTCAGAGGTGCGGTGTTCTCTGAGGGCATTTGAATACCCAGATCTGCCTCTGTGTTTCTCACAAACTCTTGATATTTTTATAGTAATAGATACTTATGGCATTTATGATGGAAAGTTATTTCCTGAACTGTCAAGATGACTCGGTGGGTAAAGATTGCTTTTGGCCAATCCTGGCAACTTGAGTTCCATCCCTGGCATCCAGATGGTAGAAGGAGAAAACCAACTCCTACAAGTTGGCTTCTGACCTTCATATACACCCATAAAAATTAATCTTGAACAATAAAGGTGTTTCTTATTGGTGTTTGGCATGGGTTGTTGGGTCCTGGAACTAGAATTATAGACAATTGCAAGCTGCCATGTGGGTGCTGGGAATTGAACCTGGGTCCTCTTAACCCTTGAGCCATCTCTCCAGCCCCCAACTGTACTTATTTATGCTTGAGACTGTGTAGCCCAGGCTGGCTTTGAACTCAGAGTGAGTCTCCTACCTCAGCCTCACAAGTACTGGGGTTTTAATACAGCCACCATGATTAACTATATACTTTTTAATTAAGTGTATTCATTTTAGCACCTGTAAAAGAAACGCCAGTGGGAGAGATGTTGGTCTGTGTGGGAAATTCCTGGAAACCCCAGGTGAATTCCACCTTTTCAGGACTTGGAACTAAAGGAGAAGAAGCTGCAGTTCCAGGCTTCTCCAGGGGTGGTGTCTTATCACACTCTGCCATGTTCTCTAAGGCTGGCTAAGACCACAGTATCTATATCTCAAAGTTCAATCTACAGGCCCTGTGAACTGGCTGAAGAGATTTATTAAAACTCATTCAGCTGGGCGGTGGTGGTACACGCCTTTAATCCCAGAGGCAGAGGCAAGCAGATCTCTGTGACTTCAAGGCCAGCCTGGTCTACAGAGCAAGTTTCAGGACCGGCTCCAAAGCTACACAGAGAAAGCTGTCTCGAAAATCCCCCCCCCCCGAAAAAGGAGGAGGAGGAGGAGGAGGAGGAGGAGGAGGAGGAGGAGAAGAAGAAGAAGAAGAAGAAGAAGAAGAAGAAGAAGAAGAAGAAG